GCCAACGACACATGGTGTTCCCAGACGGTCACCCATTCAAGTACTAACCATGCTCAATGCAGCTTAACTTCAGTGATCGGACGAGAACTGGTGCTTTTTACATGATATGGTCGTTGACAAGAGTAACACGTTATTTTGTGGACATATTCGTCGAGTTGACATTGAAAATATTGAGTCCATCATCAATAGCAATGAGTCTGGATGAATAAAATGTGTTTCATTTTTGTTTCTATTAAACTCATAGCAATCGATTACTTTTTAGATGGCACATTCATGTGAAAACAATATTCAATTCATTCAAAAATGAAATTTTCAATTCGCACATGGAACAAGTAGCGCCACACATTGACAAGAGCTCAAGTGTCAAATGCGAAAATGATTTGGTTATATTTTATTGGAATGTGGTTCAATTAATTTCATGAATTCAATTCAATGATTCAATGAGAGAATCAAATATTCTTCACGAATTTCTCGTTCTTAGTATGAAGACTTCAAGTTTAATATTTGTTATTCCTGAATAATCTCATTTTTCTGAATGGTATTGATGAAAATGCTAGATCTTGATTGACTTATGTATCAGTTTCAATATCAATACAAACCTTTTGGTGAGTTGAGATATTATCCCCATTATCACCTAGAAAATGTTCCTAAAACACACCAAAAGTATAGCATGCTAGAAAGATAAACATGAATTCAAACTAACTTTCGATCTGGATTTCAATTTGAAATTCGTTATATTTCGTATGGATCTTGAATTATCCATTATTATCATAAAAACAAATGCGATCGTTCTTTGGTGTAAATTCAATGCTATTCCACTTCGTCACAATGCACTGGATGCTTCAATGGTATCATGGACTTTTTATCAACGTCCCTAGGCATTGCCTTTCGCATATCTGCAATTCGAAACAAACATTTGAATAACAAAAACAAATCATCAAAATAAAAACTGAAGTCATTTTCAATGAAACTTGATCCAAAAATAGCTCAAGTAGTTTTCCAAACGAAGACTTTTCTTTTACAAAACCAGTCGATTAAGATCGTTTTTGCATTTATTCTTACCATAAGCATCTTCGTCAACATCTCCCGGTCCAGCATAATAGTCAATAACCGTGCGATAGACAATGTATCCCAGATTTTGGTACATGTTAATTGCAATTTTGTTGCTCACTCGAACAAATAGATCCACGAAATAGGCTTGTTTCCTACAAAAAAATTAACCAAGCAATTAAAAAATTGGTAGAAAAATTTACTCTCAATCAAAAATGAATCAAAATGATGAATTCGATCTGCTCGATGCTCGTGGATTGGATTTAGCTTACTTTTCCGAAACATTTTCCAGGAAGTTCATGAGTGTGGCGGCCAGTCCTAATCGTCGATAGTCTGGTGAAACAGTCAATGCTGTAACGTGACCGTGCCAATTTTCGCCATGTCCCTCGGCTTTACCCATTACTGTTGAGAAACCAATTTAAACACGTTATGTGTGGCCCATCAAACGATTGTCACTCAGATCATTTCATTTGTATGAATATTGAAAATTTGAAAAGCACAAATGTCGTGTCCCACTTACTGTATCCCATAATTTCACCGCTTGGTGATTCAGCCACTTGAAAGTATTCGGGCCAATGGGCCAGGTACTGCATATAAAATGATAGTCCATAGGTTTCAGTCAATGGGTCTAAATTTCTGTAACGGGCCAAATAAAAATGAATTGTCTCGCTTGCATTCAACTAAACTGTCGACAAAAAAGTGTACAAACAATATGAAAACTTACACATTATTGAATTTAAACATGTCATTGCATGTGAATGGTCTTAATGTTGTCATTTTTCCGGCTGTTAATCGATCTGTAATTGCCTCAAAACACAATTCAATTCAATAAAGACACA